TTGCCAGAGCAGAAATGTCAGGATTGAACGTTGTCATTTTGGAACTCAGTGAACTGAAATTGACTGGAATGAGTCACTTCACATAAGAGAGAAGGAACAACCTCCCAAATTATGGAATGTTCTTAATTAGAGTCCAAGACAAGCCAATCATTATTATGATCCACGTTTATGCTCCAGCTCAAAGATGCAGAGAAAGGTCTATGGTTTTCTATATTCCACAGGAAAAAAAAAGACTCCATATTAATTAGAGGAGACTGTAATCTAAAGTTGGAAGTAAAATAACATCTGTAATAATGGGAAAATTTGGTTTTGGTTTAAGTAAGGAGTCAAACTAAAAGAACTCTGCTTGCACATACCTAAATGTAAAGCAAATACTTTCTTCCAGCAATCTCAAAGAAATATTACGTGATTTGCTCTCCCTCTATAAATGGCAGCTCAGTTTGGCTGACTCTGGTCAAGCTATGAATAAAATAATATCCGAAAGAACTCAAGTTTGTTTGAACATCCTCTCAGCCTCCCCATTTGCATGGCTGGTGATTACTGTTGAATTTTAACAGTGAAATATACTTCTTGGCTACAGTCTGACTTTCTCGGTTGCAATTTACCCCACTGTAGTAATATTTGGCCATAAAAGTGATTATAGGAAGACGGAGAAGACCTTTGGTCTGCTAGATCTACAACAAAGGGAATTGCCAGGAAGCTTTCAAATGTTGGAGAAGAACAGAAAGGCTCCATTCCAGCTTGGAAAAAAACACACAAAAAAAGTGTTATTAAAATTCAGTTAAGACATTCCTAAGACATATGTGAGCTTCTGCAAACATTCCCAGTGCCCAGGAACTCTCTTCATGCCTTCTACCTTCTAAGCAATGCTAGTAGAACTGCAGATATTGCTACAAGGGCAAGAGTCATGAAAGAAGCAACCAGCAGAGTCTATGTCAATTTCAACTTTCTCTTTAACCCAAAGGGGAAGGTTATATATTTATAATTACAGAGATAACTTTATAATTTTCTGATGTTAAACATGAAAGAGACAGATTTAATCTTGAGATACTGGATAACTGATAACACCAGTATTCAGGCTTGCCATGCCCTGCTGCCTTTGATACTTCAGCAAGCCCTTTTGTTCAGGATTATCATTGCCAGCATCCTGCCTATTATCCATCTTATGCTAAAGACACTTTCCCTCTTTCCTCTTTCCCTTCATTGCAGGAAAGAGAACAAAGAGAAGTGTTCTTAATTTTGTCTGACGCATTGTGGATTTCCCAAATCCTGAAGTGAGAATTGGGTTTTGAGTGCTTTTAATTTGCTAAATTAATAGAAAATAATTGTGGGACTTCTGGAATACTCACACCTGTTTAGCAGCCTACAGTATTAAGATCCCAACGGACTTAGCAAGGTGGGATGGCCCAGTTCATAACAGACAACTCTACACATGGTCTTCAATACCAAAATCAAATGGATTACTGACTGCTCTACAAGCAGTATTCAGTCAGCAAAACCTAAATTTGAGGCTGACTGTGGTGCAGATCACAAACTCCTTCATGCAAAACTACAACTTAAATGCAGAAAATGAATATAATCATTAGACCAACAAGGTATGACCTCAGGAATATTCCATATGATTATCTTGTGAAGGTGAATATTAGATTTAAGAGATTAAATTTGACAGAGTAGACTCTGGATTGAAATTTGTGACATCAAAAGCAACGCAAACAAAAATATTCTAAATTTTTCCCAGAAGGAAGAAGCCTGTCTCCTGATACACTGAAAATAACTAAGAAAGGTGTAAAGCAAAAGGCAGAACAGATACACAGAAATTTCCCCAACTAACTAAACATCGAGTTTTAGAAAAGAGCAAAAAGAAACAATGAGTTACATATAAATAAACAGTGTATACATTGAGGATAACAAACGAATTTTATTTTGTTAATAACAAAAGAAGAAGGGATTTATTTAAGAAAATTACAATGGCAAGTTTAATGCAAAGATGGAAAACCTGAATGCCAAGTGGAAAAAAAGACAAACACTTATTAGACAAAGATATAAAATTGAGATAGAACTACTCAGAAGAACTGTATGGAAAATATTACAGATTTGCTCATGTTTATGGAGGCTTGATCACTGAACTAGAACCAGACGTTCTGGAAACTAAAGTTAAATTGGCTAGAAAATATTGCTAACAACTAAGTGGCAAGAGCTGATGAAACACCAGCAGAATGGCTTAAAATCTTACCAACTTAATGTGTTACCTGGTAAACAGTAAGGAAAACACAGCAATGGCCAATAAATTGGAAAAGATCGATTTATAGTCCAAAATCAAAAAGGACAGTACTAGAGAATGCTGAAACTACCAAACAATTACACTTATCTCACACGCTAGTAACATAATGCTTAAGATTTTGCAGTCCAGACTTCAACAATACACGGAAAAAGAATTGCCAGATATACAAGTTGGATTCAGAAAAAGTGGGGGTACCCAAGAATCATATTGCTAGCATCCAATAGATAATGGAAAGCTTTTCGCTGTACAGACCCTTAACAGTATTGATCTAGGCTGCCTCACCTGCCCACTGAATTTGTAAGCTGTCTAGGAAGCAATATGGAACAACTAAATGGTACAAAATTGGGCAACAATTATACCAAGGTGGTATACTGTTATCTTTTTTTTCAATCAACATGCATCATTTAACTGATATGCAGAATACATCATGAGAAACGCTGGGAGAAAAAGCAAAAATTGGAATTAAAATTGCTGGAAAAAACATCAACAACCTCAGATATGCTGATGAGACTACTTTGATGCTATAAGAGAGGAAGAGTTAAAGGATATCTTGTTGAAGGTGAAAGAAGCAAGTTCAAAGCTGGTTTTCTGCTCAATATTATGGGCACATGACCCACCTGTTTCACACACTGCACTGGTTACCAGTTGGCTTCTGGGTACAACTCAAAAAGCCGGTTATCACCTTTAAAGCCCTTCGTGGCATAGGGCGGGGCCATCTGAAGGACTGTTTACCTATAGTCATCTCTGCCAGTCTAGTATGGTCTAGCAGGACTGGGGCATGTGCTCCAGGTCCCATCAGTTGAACAATGTCATCTTGCAAGACACAGGAAGTACGCCCACTCTACTGTAGTTCCTGCCTTCTGGAATTATCTGCCCTGAGAGATTTGTGTATCTCCTACCCTTTTGTCATTTAGTAAATTAACAGTTGTTCTCCCAGGCCTTGGGGACAGGGAGATTACGGAGCCCCCTTTTGTTTTGTTTTTGTTCCGGTAGATTTAGGGTTGGTTTGAGGCTGACTCGAGAGAGCTATTCTGGAGTCAGGTGGTCTCAAAATCCAATGAATAAATAAAATAAATAAATAAACCCTAAGGTTATGTTAAAAGCTATGCCAATGCAGTGGAAATGAGGAACAAAATAGGCTTCTATCTTCCTAGGGTCAAAAATTCACAAAGATGATGACTGTGGTCATGAAATAAAGAGAGGTCTTGACACGTCTAGACAAAGAATGAAAAGTGCACACTGACAACTAAGGTACTGATTGTCAAGACCATGGTTTTCCCAGTTGTAACATGGCTTTGAAATCTGACCCTTCAGTAATTCCAAGAAATACTGATGTCATTGAATTGTGATGCAGAAAACACAAATGTTGAGAATATATTGGACTACAAGAAGACAAATCATTCAGTACTAAAACCAGAAGTAAAACCAGACTGCTCACCGAAGCACTAGTAAGCTTGGATATTTGGACACATAATGCAAAGGCCAAAGTCTTTGGATGGAAAAAGCTGCAGCAAAGGAAAAAAGGTTGAAAGAGGACAAGGTAGCTAGATGCTATCACTGGTAACACAAGCAGGAGCTTACAAGAACTCAGCCAAACAGTTACTGACAGACAGTCCTGGTGAAATGACAGTCCATTGGGTCATGCAGAGTTGGGAGCAAGTGAACAACTGAACTTTATAAAAATATCCAGGATAGTCATTATCCCAAAAAATTGGCAATTACACTTCCAGCCTTGTCTGTTAATCTATGGTTTTGTTATTTGGGCTTCCTATCAATCTACTTTCAGACTTGAACAAGGTGAGGCACATTTTTTTTTTCACAATGCATGGCTAAACAGGATATTGTAGGAAGCAGCAGACAGAGAATTTTACCAGTTCTGTCTCCGGCTTCCCACATTATCCTGTTTATTGATTGATTGATTGTTTATTATTGTACAGATTGAGTATTTGAGATGATTAGCAGTACCATTATTATTGTAGGAGAAAGTCCTGTAGGGTCAGCTCATGTCAACAGCATGACATTAATGAAGACAAATGGAGCCACTGCATTTATGTCATCTCAAAAGAGTGAGCTAAAGCCAAACCCAGAACAGAGGAATTGTCTACTTTGGGCCATCAGGAATAATACTGTTGTCATATCAGATTATTCTTCAAAGCAATTTTGAACCTGCCAGTCTGAGCATAATCAAATTCTCCTCTAACAGGGTAAAAGCAATCTTATGGCTCAAGGAGTCACATTTTGGTTAAAGGAAAAGCAATTTTTACTAGTCGCTTTTAGAGTATAAATCTGCATACCCACCGGAGATTTAAAATTTATTTCTCAGTCATGTCCTTTCTATGGGAATTATAGTTCTGATGATTACCTAGCAACCCTTAATTTAATTGCAAGTATTTTGGAAAGTTGTGATAAATTAACAGATTTACATATGGCATGCCTTCAGGATATTGTGCAATTATCACAGTCCAGGTCACTCATTTGGAACAGATGTTGTCACTTAGATTACAGCATGGTACAGTAAAAAATAAGAACTTTATATGTATCAGTTTACAAGTTTTAGACAAATGTTCAACTTACCACATGATAACTATACATAGGTGGTATAAAGATGGACAAGTTTCTACAATACGATTTACTTAACTTTCTTTATCATTTGGGGCACGTCGTCTAAAACAATCACTCACCTCTTCTAGCTATAACCCAAACGCAAATCTTCACTTACTTTTGTTTGATCATCAGCTTTGAAGACGTAGCAGATATTTTGCTGATGTTGTGCTCCATCTTTTATCAGGCAGGCAAAATAGCTTGGATCATGACTGTTGTGAATCAGTTTGTGGACATGCTGTGGCCTACATTCAAACAGGCTAGAACAAATCAGAGGATCCCACTGCTGGTTTTTTCCTGAGTCCACTTCACAGCGTATCCTGGCCGGTGAGACATAAATCCGAATTTGCCTGGTGCCAGGCTCTTCCTTCAAAGCCTGAGTGCTGAGCTGTCGGACGTGTGCCACGATCCAAGGAAGCATTGGCATGGTGGTTAAAGAGTGCACAGGCAAGGACCCTATCAGGTGAAGACTGAAGTCAACTGAACCGTCACTGAACGCTTCAGGATTTTTAACTCTGAATGACAAAGGTTCCATTTTTAAGTCATAAAAAAGGAGTACACCAACCCAATAAATTAGGAAGTCTTGAAATTCTAAAATGAAAACAAAAAGTATGTCGTTAACATGCTGATTTAATAACTTCTATCTGTTCCAAGAATCATGCCAATGATTAAACTAAACTTCCATATTTCAAGCTTTTCTTTTGTTTATACAACGGCATTTATGTAATAAACGTAAGTTATTACTGATGAAGAAAAATACTGCTTTTGAAATACCTGAAAGAAATTATGCCATTCTATCTTTTTATAAATACGTTGCAAATATTAAAACAAATACTCAGTTTCAATATGTTATCGATTAACTGACTAAACTTCATAGTCAGAAATGTAACATTTCTGGAAATGTTGAAGCTACATAAAAATGCATTTTTCTATTTCAACACACACACACACACAAATTCTGGGGAGAATTAAAATATATGCTGTATTTATCTTTAAAACACTCTTTACTTATATAAGTTCACTGTGCTATTTTAAGACCGTACAATGCAATGTATATAACATTTGATTCACTCCTACAAATATAATGTTTCTTAATTTCTAAAACTATAATTTAGTCAGACACTAAGTACATTTATTGAATTTACTTTCTTTCTTTTTTTTTAACTAGAGGACCCAGAAGCTGCAGAACTCTTAAGCACCTCCTAATTTTAACAGTTTCACAAGCTAAAAACAAAGATGAAGACAGAGACAATGATCAACATGATAGCCTAGCCCCAGACAGAACCAACAACCTCTAAATAAAAAGTTAGCAATTGCCAAGCCAACATAAATTAAACCAGTAAAGCACTGTTTGTTCTCTGTATTAAGGAGCCATGATGCTTTGATACTCTTAAATAAAAGTTGTATTAAAAGTTAGTAGAAAGTATGTTTGAGAATAACAGAAGAGGACAACCAGCATAACAGAAGAGGACAACTAGCAGCAAGGCGGATAGACTCAGTTACAGTGGCAATGAGTGCACCATTGGAAGACCTGAAAGACCAGGTTAGGGATAGATCATCATGGAGCAAATCTATCTATGAGGTTGCTAGGAGTTAAAAACAACTTGATGGCACATAATCAGTTAATCAATGTTTGAGCTACACTCTGGATTCCAGGTTGAAGAGGTGTTTCAGAATATCTTAGAGAACCTCAACCAAGTATCTGCCTGTAACCCCATAACACCAGTCACCTTTCTCAGGACCATATGACTGCCCCCCCCCACTGCAAACCCAGGAAAAGACCCCTTTGGCCGAAAGAACTGCTAACAGGTGCTACTTGTGCTTCCACGTGTGCTCTGAAATTTTTCTTTCGAATCTGAACCATTTCTCAGCCCAACAGAAGACACTGAGAGGGGAATAAAATGGTTGCAGTAGACAAGTACTTTATCTTATTAGATTTTTTATTCTAACTGAAGATATTGGACCTTTTTAAATTCTTTCCCATTTTTTTCAATTTCTCAGGAAAATTTTTTTTTTTCTAGGTTTTGGTTGAGCTTCCATTTCTCCATACAGAATACTAATATTTAAAATTGATTTGACCAAATTATAGCTCTAGCATTCAAACTGCCATTTTGCTTGATTTCAGTGTTTCAAAATGCTAAAATTTCAGTAGGGATAACTGGATTGACAGGAATATTTCACTCTTGGAAGAAACCCATGATAATTGTTGGAACATACTAAAACTGGAGAATGTTAAAGTGTCATAAGATTTGCTATATCCTATTCAGGATGGACGGACGGACAGGCAGACATGATTTGCCACTGCCTTCTTTTGGTATGTTTTTCAACTTTCCAGTCTAGTTTATAATCATGGGTGTAGCTGATAATCTCTCATCTAAATAACAATCAGATCCAACCCTATAAATCAACCAATGTTGGAAAAACAGCCTGAAAAAAGACAATAGGAAACCACTTCAATATTTTGCCAAGAAAAGTACATGGATTTGTTCCTGTAAGTCAAGCTTGATTTGAAGGTGACATTTATACAAAAATTACAGATAGAAAGGATGATCAAGAAGCCAACCAGAGATAATGTACAGGAGTGCTAAAGAGATTAAGATACAGTAGTTGAAGATAAAGGGAATAGCTTGAAGAATTACAAGAAAAATCTGTTCCATTCATTGAACCCCAACAATAGCAGGTCTAAAAGTTAAATAAAGGAAAGGAAAGTAGATTAATTCAGGAGAATAAAGGACAAAGAATGTCAGAGATGTTAAAGGGCTGAGATGGAAATTAAAGCACTCATCCCTTGAACCTGAAGTTGAGGAGACAGTAGAAGAGAGCCAAAGCAGAGACTTACCACCAGCACCATTGATCTCACCACAATATATCCATACCCAGTGAGGGCCCTCCTAACTGCAATGAGCTCATCAATGCACTAGGCCATTTGCAGTGCTCTGGGGAAAAGGATGCTAAAACCTGCAGCGCCTGCTGAGATAAATGGCGTGATCACATCAGTAGGAAGAAAGGACTGTAACGGAGACCCGAATGAGCTGAAAAGAGATGACTGCAAGAAGAGCCACACAAGCCATCCTCTGTTTCATAAAAGACATCACTGAATGTAGAAAACGGTGTTAGTTACAGATGCATTAAAAAAAAAAAAGTAAAATGTTTGTGATATTGAACAATAGACCTGCAATATAACAGAGATTATGTAAGACAAAGAGGGAATAGCCAACATATCCATTGTTGATAGACAATCACTTTTTTTTTTTTTTTTTGGTGATAGAAGAGTGTGGAATGGGAAACCAGGTGAGAGAAGGGTGAGCGCTATAAGACATTTATACAGGGCTGCCTCTAGTTTGGGGAAGATGGTTTCAGCAAACCTAGGTTCTTGTCTACGTCTATCTTCACGTCACTACCACCGCTGCCCGTAATAATGTCCTCTTCCTCTGAGTCCAATCCATAATTCTTACCAGAGAGGACAAAGCAAGTTGAGCTTATTTTCTTCTGCTTTTGTCACTGTTTATGCACTTGACAAGATTAGGAAAAAATGTCACGTTGCCAAGAAAGAAGAAAATGAGGGAGATGTGGATTCCGCAGGGCCTCTTCCGTTGACAGACTGTCAAACTCAAGAATTAGTTTCAACTTAAATATGAGCAAAATACAAAGGAGGAGGAGGAGAAGGAGAAGGAGAAGGAGAAGGAGAAGGAGAAGGAGAAGGAGAAGGAGAAGGAGAAGGAGAAGGAGAAGGAGAAGGAGGAGGAGAGAGAGAGAGCAATAACAAACTGAAATGAAGTATCTTGGGAAAAAAGGAGCAAAGAAAGTAGAAAACGATCAAAAGCTCTAAGGAACCCTAACTCATCAAAAATGAAGAATACAAGAGAAATACGAGGCCAAACTAAACAGAATATTAAATTGGAGTTTTTTTCACAGTGCACTTTCAAGTTCTAATTTTGATCTCAGGGCTAGCCTTAAAATAATTAAAAGGCTTCATTTTAAAATAAAAGCTGTAATCAAAATATACATCATTCCCCTTCAGTCCTCTTTTTCGCTGCATTCACACATCATTCTAAATCAGGATAGTTGGTGATGCTTTTGCCCCTTGCTGACCATTAGACTCTGTATGTTACCTGACCTCTAAAAAGTTACAATTTTGTTTAGAAAATCTGAGAAGATAATGCTAAATCACCTTTCCTTTCTTGTTGCCAGGGAAAAAAATACAGATGTATCCATGAGGTCACCAAAATTAAGCTGAGCTCAAAGGTTACTCTTCTTTTTACTTGCCTGCTTTCTCCATAATATGCAAGTATGCAGACTCTTAAAACTAGACTGAAACAGAGCACATGTTTCAGCAGCTGCTTATAAGAGAAAAATCCCTGATCTCTCTTTAAATATCATTTAAAAGGAACTTGCCATGTTCCTGATGCGCTGATTTCAAAAAGGATGTCCAAACCCCAAAATACATTTTTGTCTAAAACCATCTGAATTTTGCTTCCTTGCCAGTGGGAAATAAACATTCTTGTTACAACGGTGAAATATAAACTGACCTTTGATACTCAAGAATGCTGTATTTTAAAAGATGTGAATGCCTTTGCCTCCTTCCTACATGGCTTGGTGAACGGAGCTCCAGCATGCAGACTGCATAATAAAGGTAGAGAGGTTTCAATCATCTTCAGTAACAGGAGATGACAGCTAGAAGAAAATCTACATCCATGGGATTTCCTTATTCACAAACTTGCGTGTCACTCTGTTAGCCTGTGATAGTCCTTGGGGATATATGGTTGAAGATTACCTTGGACTTCTTAGATTTACATTCCCCCTTTCTTCCAAGAACTTAGGAGAGTCCAGGTAGTCCTCCCTTGATTCCCACCCCCCTTTTACAACATCCCTGCCAGGTAAATCAGGATGAGAGAGAGCCGGCTGGCCCAAAGTCACCAGTGATGGGAGGTGCCAGGTTAACATCTTAAACCCAACCAGTATGGTTAGAAAAACCTAATACTACAGCACCTATCAGTCAAGGAAGTGGCATTTCATCAGTACTTCTCATAATTCTAGGAATGTACGCTGTTTTTAAATGTACGTTTCTTTGCCTCAGCTATAGAAATATTTCTGGAAGCTGGTGATAAATCAACTAAGAGCATAAAATAAGTAACCCAAACCCCCAAACCCCCTCACCCTTATGATTTGTTTTTCAAACTTAGGATTTTATGGGATTCAAAAGGATGAAATAGTTTTCTCTGTCTTGCACCAGAAAGACATTTTTCTAAAAAGATAATATGGTTGAAATAGGATACAGACCCTAAATGCAAAGGATGCTAATTTCATGCAAACAGATGCAAATTAGTCCCAGTGCTTATGTATACGAAGCACACACAACTTGATCCTTGGGGGTCATATAAACTACCACCATAAATTTAGTGATTTCAGAATCATGGGTTGATAACCTTAAAAAATTTTTTTTTTTAATGAACTCAGGTCACTCCTTGGGCTAGTCACCCTTTCTCAGCCCTAGGAAGATGCAGAACCACTTCTGAAAAAAATCTTGCCAAGAAAACTGCAGGAGTCAACACTGACTTGAAGGTACCCCCCCCCCAAAAAACCAGTTCTAGTATTTATTAGTTTTTTTATGCCACTCTACTCCAAAATAGCTCTAAACTGCATCCAAATATCCAAACAATACCAAACAATATACCGTACATTATAACAGCACTAGCCAACGAGGGCAGGTCCCAAAAAGATCTAAGTCCCCCAAATGCTCTCTAAATTTCTACTATTCTGAACAGGTCCCTTTCATAGCTAACGTTACACTCAGTTATTCATATTCACTGTACTGCTTTTTCCAGTCATTCTCATTACAATCCCTTTGACTGAAGCAGCCAAGATTCCCTGCTCAACACATTTGCAAACTCTAAAGGAAAGTCATGCAAACGGGAGGACTAGCTTCCAAATGACTTTGTGCTGAGGTTGGAGGAACACACAACTATCCTGTTGGTGTTTATAGAAAACAACCACAAAGGATCATGTTCCAAGCTGACACATTTTTAGGAACAATGTAAGGGGGTGGGGGGAGCTGTTCTGTTTTCAAGGCAATTGGCACCCTTGATGATCCTTGATTGGAAACTACTAAACCGACCAGAAACAGTAGACATGGAATTGACAATGGTTACAACTTCCTGTCGCTTCAAAGAGAGCAGGGGAAAGTGTCCCCGTTTCTTATCTTCTGCCATTGGAAAGCAGTCATTTGAATTCTTTCGATCACGCTGGAATTCCAGCAGAGCAATCCAGGCCCAGGCTTCAGGTTACCCCGAGCACTACAGTGCTGGATGCCAGAGTGATCCTTTTCTCACCCGATCCCCAAGCAGAACAGAACATCACGCACACACGCCTACCCAAGATTTGGACGTGGGGGGGGCTTACAAGCCAAGCCGTCCCCCTTCAGTCAGTAATTGCAATCAGCCCAGCGAGCTTTTCATTCGTTCCGTTGTGATAAACACGTGAAACCTCGAAAACATAAAAGCAGCAAAGAAAAAGCCTAACTCGAGTCTCCTTCAAGGGTGACGCTTGCACCGAGCATGTTATGGGAATCGCTACACACGCAACGTTCATTGACCTAAGCGGAGCAGCCGAGCCTGGGCAACAGAGGGACCGAAGCGCCTCCAGAAGGTCACGGCACCTCTTTGAATCACGTCTGGGCAGGATTTCGGTGGAAGCCAAGCGGGGGTCAGTCGCCAACCGCCCAGGCTCACTGATTGCCCAGTTAATCACTGATGCTTTGCACAAAGCAACGAGCACAAAAATTAAACCGCACAGCCGTGCATTCCTCTGTGGATCGCAACTGCGATGCAGTATTCCGTGCTCGGCCCCCGCGCCACGAGACCGCCAGGAACTGCGCTGGGGCGACTCTTTAGGATAGCGCCCCTTAAGCGCCGCTGGAAACGCTTAACGGCAGCTCCCTGCCTCTTCGCGCATTCCTTCCACTGCAGTTCTGTCTCCTTCTCCTACTCCTTCTCCTTCTCCTCGCTTCGCCATTCCCTTCCTCGCCGCTTCCCGCTGAGATCGCAGGCCCCCCGCGCTGGCAGCCGGCAAGCTG